GATATTAGTGACCTTGGGAAATGTATAAAGGCGGAAGGACAAGTAAGTCCATAGACAAGGAGTTGAAACAAGGGTAAGTAAATCGAGCTCAAGGAAAAGCGCATAAGACTATAAGGAAAGCACTCCCAAGAAAGAGGAGAACCTTAGGGCGTTGTCTCCAAAATGCCCCACTATGGGTCAGTACAACATGGTTGGATGTCATCAGGAGGAGACAGCTAGTTAAGGACAAATTAATGATATCCAGAGGAGATGTCCAGTTAATGATGAATCACATTCATTATGATAGGCCACTGTGAATTTGTGTTAGGAGATCAATGTCGTGGCCAAGCACCGTCGAGAGTAAAAGTCGTGGATGACATGTGTCACGTCTACCTAGAACAAGCTTATAGTAGATATGTTGACTATGAAAGATGACGAGGAGCTCCTGAATGGAGTCCAGTTATCAAAGCTAGTGCAAAGCATCGATAAAGGAATTGTGGAGGTACGGAAATGAGGACTCCACAAGTTTATAATAAAATTCATAATAAAAAGGCGGTAGTCGACATAATGAGGAATTCAAGGGGAATGATAGTTAGGAAGGGCCAACTAATGAATATGAAAGGTAACGAGGCATTAAGGTGATTGCCAGAGGAGAACAATTGAACCATAAAAGGTTCCTCAAGAATTTAAAAGCTCATCGGCCAACTTTAAGGTAGAAGTACGCTCGTCTTGATATGTCGAGAACGTTAACCTTAGAGGTCATGTATGTGTGAAAGAACATACAGGGGCAGAGGGGACTACACTGGGGGAAACGTTTTCCAAAGGAGCGATGAAAATATCAAGGTCAAGTAAAGCAAAGTGAGGTAAAGGAAAATTTATCCTTACAGTGCCAAGGCCTTAAGAAAATTATATCAGGATTCCAACCGAGCATACTAGAGGGCGGTATAAAGTACAAGGAGAATGAGGTGCGAGCTAGCCACCATGTCACCAACAAGGAGCTAACGACATGGATTTAGCCAAAATAATGGGCTTTTTCGAGGCATTATGATTTTTGTGGACACATGAGGTAAGAAATGTTGTGATACACGTAAGGTAAGGCTGAACCGAGGAGAATAAAAAGATTGTTATGATAGGGGAGGCCAGGAATCCTAAAGGTGCAAACCTATTGTTTGGTTGGTCTATCCTAAATGGAAGGAGTATCTCAACTATGAGACATGTAATAGAGGGATGAAAGGACATTTTGGATGTGTTAAGAAAGATAGAAGTACTAATAGGAGGACTTTAACTGTATAAAACAGTAATCAAGGAGATTACTATTAAATTGGCAATTTAAGGCTAAGGCAGAGTACTAAAGGAGGGAAGTAGGAGATGCAAAGCTAGAATGTACAAGGACCTAGGGACCTATGCGGTCAACCATGGACAAGAGTTAAATGAGTTTTTTTATATTACAGAAAGAAGTATCAGCTGCCACCAGTAACCTTGGGGTTCGAAGTGGGCATTACCTACTTATGTACCAAATGATGGAGATAGCGGATGCCCTAAATATGTTCGAAGTACATGACCGATGTGAAAGGGGTAAGAAGCATCAGACAACAGGGTATTACCGAGCAAGTGGAACACTGACCATGAACGTTTACATCATGGAGTTCAAAGAGGTGCATCAACAATCATGAAAAAGAGAACATTATAGGTCAAAATCCTAGTGGATTATTAGATGACGTTGCTTAAGGAATCGTAAGGGGAGACCTTGAGAAACCGCGGTGATCACAAGATGTTTTGAGTAAAGCACCACAACATCGAAGTCGTCTATGAGTGGAGAATTTCATAGTTGTATCGAGCTAATTACACGTCCCCTCTCTTTTCAAAAACCAAACCATAACTCAAACCAAAAACCGGTTACTCCGGAGCAGCCCAAACCAAATCTTAAAATAAACAAACTGACATTATTTAAGAATTTTTACGAAAAGCCCCAACACTTGGGCAAAATTCTCAATCTCAAACACTAAAAATGACTTAACACAGAATCTCCAGTTTATACTAATAACCATGAAACAGAATAATTAACTAATCTTAGACTCCTCACGAGCTTTCTGATATCCCGACGACGCTGGTACTGCTGCTCGCCTCGCCCTGCTTCTTCTCACGATCCACTTCTGCTAGACTATCCTCAACCTGGTGAGTGAGAAGGGGTCAGTCTCATCGTTACTTCCTAAGGTCTTTGCCCTAGGCAAACTCCTTACTAAACACGTTATTAGGGGAAATGCCTTCCTTAGGCGAAAGTCGTTCTCACTTTCATCCTTTAAACTTCATTATCAAACAGTCTATAAGAGATCTCTACTCCTATCTTATCTTTAGAATTCTCTTACTTATGTTCTTAATAACTCATTTCAACTTTAACTCATAGAGGTTCTCAACTTTGATCCTTAACTCAAACACAAACACTAGGACCACCGTGTTACGTCTCGCCGTCCGGTGTCCTACCCTAGTATGCCAACCGCGTTATGTCTCGCCGTCCAGTTGCATACCCGAACTCGGCAGTAGTGACCCGACCATCTACCGCGTCCAATAGTGGCCCAACCGCCCGGGGGTTCCTCTTACCATCAATCCATACAACATCACAAACGTTCATACATAGCACAACGCGTGTGACACGCTACGACACAACACAAAACTGCGACCAAGTGTAATCGCAGTCCGGAAATGCAGAATAGTGGCAAGTTCTAATTATCAACCCGGGGTTTAGATCTATTGCCTACTCCTTAGTTAGGTCTCAGTTGTAATTAACCTGGGTGGATTTACTGTTGATTAAACTACGGAAGATCCGACAGTAGTTTGGAATCTCTTAAGCTGACCAAGCCCTCTCAGCCTAACTACCCGGCAGACGACTAGTCTTCACCGGGATAAGCACAGAACTCCACTACTGGAATTGGATTCCAGTACAAAGCAGTAGACTGACTAACTCTCGTATAACCAATCTACTACTACCGAAAGATGAAGCTCTAACAACCTAATCAGTTTCTATCTATCTCAGGTTGCAGCAGAAATCAAGCTGGGATGATGATTTTCACTCCTATGATGATCTCCAAGCTCGATTTGATGAATCCCAACTCCAAGATCACTTCTAGGGTATGTTCTTCGCACTTTCTCTCTCTAGGGCTCTGTTTTTGCTCTGAAAAGTCGATCCCCTCACTTGTGGCTTGAAATTGGGTTAAAACCAGAATTCCCGACTCACACGGGCAGGCCACACGGCCGTGTGGCTTACCCAGCTACCCGTGTGAGTGTCAAAACGCGGCGTTTCAAATAAATGGACTTCAAGCTACCTACACGGCCAGGGACACACGGCCGTGTGGAATCTCCTGTATGCCCGTGTGAAGCCTCGCTAAATCCCACACTGCCACATTGGTTCCTGACATGGCCGAGTGGGTTTTATGAGTGCCCGTGTGGCTTCCTCAGCGTCTCGCCACACGTCCGATCTTCGTCCAATCGACCCCGAACTCGCTCCCAAACCTTCATTCACGTACTAGGACCTGAAATATCACAAACAAGAACAACCTAGCGTGAAATCGGTCTAAAAAACGAGAATCAACATCTCAAACGGCTCAAGAATGGGGGTAAAAACATGTACAATTAACGGTCTATCAAACTCCCCCACACTTAACCATTTGCTTGTCCCCAAGCAAACCAAGTCAGGCACAAGGTAAGCTTTTCAATCATACCCACGTTGGGGACAAATCATATAGGCACAGAATACGTGAATCCTCCTGGCTTTCAAACATCAACACATGAACAACTTCAATAGAAACCTGGACAACCACCACAGAGGACATTTGAGTGCAGCAAAATAGAATAAAGGAGGAGTCTCCCTTCTGTTCATCAACCAACATAGACTTGACTCAACCACTTACTCAAGACAGTCAGCTCATGCATAAAACTCAAGAGATCAGAATCAAGACCGAGCCATCTAGGTCCTCAGCGGGGTAAAGAGTGTAAAGAACAAGGAAATGAATCGCTCACTCTCGACCAGTGGGGTCAGGACAATTTGATGCAAAAAATGCGCATACTTATTCTCTCAATCCCTAACATCTCTTCACCATGACAGCAGCCTCTAAATGTTAGAGTTCACATAAATGGTTGTCCTCACTAACTAATCCGGAGGTCTTAGACACAGGTTCAAATGACTGGCTAGGGTCTTGGACATTGGGAAAAGGCCTTTTAGGTGGTGGAAGTATTCATAGCACAAGGTTCCACATTTCCGAACCCAACAAACTCACAGTCAATCAAACCAATAACTTTCTTTCTGCTATTCTGCATTACTCAAATTCTTCAGAGCACAAGAGCGAAGGAGGTCACATAAATGTTATTATTTCTAAGCCAGATTGCTAAGAAACACTAATTAATAGGCACTATTTAGATTTTTGGTGGTGGCTCTCTTTTGCTTTCATTTTTTTTTCATTTCTTAAGAGAACCACCACCTCTGCACATTTTTCAAACACCTGCCCAACTTTTTAAGAACTACCTCCAACTCTCACATTATATTTAGCAGAAATAGCAGAGAACATGTAAAAAAACCACTATGTGGAACCTTCTAAGAGATGCAAAGGGGTGATTTTTCATTGCAGACCGAAAGAAAGGATAACACACGGCTCAAAAGGGTTGACTAGGGGGTATGACACAACAGGACAGTCAATTTGGTCGTGGGCTAATCCTATGTGATACGCCCCTGGGGGGTGTATGTTATCAAAGTAACGCAGCAAACGAATCAATCGAAGAATCGATTGAGCTCGAATCAAGAACGAAGCGTTCTTAATACGAACTTGGATAAAACGGAACCAAAAGGACAAATCCACACCTGGGGATAGCTCGATTGGTATAAAAGGGTAGTTGCTCGACCACGATTGAAGGGACTATTCAATCGATACAAAGCTCAGCAAGTTTGGAATCCACCAAACCCAAAACAAGTCGCAACTTGCACAAACCAAACGGTTTCTTTTCTATTCAACAAAGTCTTAGTTTTTACAACGAAAATAGAAGGCTATTTATAGCCAAGAAAACCTAATACAGGCCTAATGTAACTAGGAAACAATTATGGTAAAAACAAACTCTAAAAACAGTACAAAACTCGGGTTTAAACTCCCTTCCTTGAAGCGCAAGTAAGCTGCCAGCAACAGTCCAAAAGACAGCTTTCGTACTAACTTCGCGCCATTTGTTCAAAGCCTTCCCGAACTCCAATCCTTCATCCAATTCCTTCCCTTTGTACATAAAAATACCTAGTTTCATGTTGTGGAAGCCTTTTGACTTGAATCCCATCCATGATCCTTGAATTGAGCTCCAAAGTAGGCTTCACAAAACAGTTTTCTGCCTTAGCCATTTTCTGGCAGTTTTCCAGTTTTAAGGTAGCAACTTTGAGGACTGGGAAAATAACCTTAATGACATCTTCTGGATCCATAAAGCATACCATTGGAAAGATGGTAACTTTATCTGCAAAAGAAACCCTTAAAATTGAATTTCCACCAAGCCAATTGAGAGAACCATGCCTCCAAAGTATGTACCCTGAACACGGATTTTGACACAGCCAAATTCTGCCTTTCTTCTTCCCAACTTCGATAGCTTCTTTGTCAAGTAATTGTGAAGTCAATGGTTGGTAATTTGGGATCATATCAGGCCCTCCCTGTTGAAAAAGTGTTGCCCTCAACACTTTGGCCTTTCTTTGCTCAAACCGTTCACAGAATTGATCCCAAATTGGATCGAAAGTAGGCTGCTCGATCATCTTTTTCGACTCAAAAATTACAGCTTCAAACGTAGCTTCGAGATCTTTTAAGACCTTTGAAGCTTGCAGAACTGTTGGGCACTCCTTCTGGGATCGAAACAAATCTCCCTCGATGAACAATTGCACTGGAAAGTGGCCGAAACTATTTTCAGGTCGCCGGACTCCATCTCCGTTGTTAAGCTCATTCGACTGAATTGGGGCTTTTCGTTTCGAGGATCCCCAGCACAATTCATCCACTCCAAGCTCTTCTCCAGGCTTCCAATTGAAGCTTGGGTCAATTTTCCAGTCTCGAATCATCATCTTCGCCTTCGAATCCGCTCTTCTTCCATTCCCGCCGTCGGCCAATTTCAAACTCAGATTATCGAATTCGAATTTGGGGTTTTTCAATCCAAGCATGTTTGAGGCGAATTGATGCATCCTACTCATTCCATGGATCCCCATGAATGATTTTGCATCCCTTATTTGGCTCAAATCGAGCTCAATTGCTCTACGTAAGAGAGGCTCGTCGTCGGCTGGGCTCTTCGCAAACAGAGGCCTTGCTGGACGAATTGATTCTTCAAAATCCGCTACAATCATGTCCAACGAACCAACTTCAGATGTTTCTGGGGTGGTAGTGACTATTTCTACACCGGCGGCGAAGTTCGACTCCTCCCTGGTTATTCCAACCGATTCATTCTCTCTCATGCCCTGTTTCGCCCGAAGAAGGGGAAGCTCCGCTGTTAGATTCTTCAATCCGGTTTGTGTCGTTCCATTGAAGCCTTCAATTGAGATTCTAGGATACATTTGGAGCGTTCCCGAAGTATTCTCTGGGTTCGAATCTTCTCTGTTTGGTTCCACCACGAGAGCCCATGGAGCACTCTGTTTTGGCGGAGCTGCAGGGGTCTCCGCTCTTGTCACAGGGACGAGTCGAGCATCTTCGGTCGAAGTTGGGGCTTCTTCGCGACTCTCCGTTATTCCTTCAACCTCTAGGGAGGTGTCTGGGGCCTCTTCGTGCGTCGATTCTTCTTCCTCATCGTCAGCAGTAAGGCCGGTGTCGGCGCTCTGTTTCGTCGCCGAAAAACAGGGGTCGTGAGTTCTTGCTGGATTGCTCCTCAACTGCAACGGGGTCGTCAACAAGGCCATATGATGCTCTTCCTGGAGTCTTCTTACCTCTTTGAGATCGTTGGTAGCTTGTTCTTGAGATAAGGGAATCAAAACTAACGTTTTGTTTCGTTTTCGAAGCCTGAATTTTCTGCTTCGTTTACTAACGAACTCGATTTGTCGATTACGAAACCAAGGCTGCCCCAACACGATGTGGCTGGGAAGATTGTAAACCACGTCGCAAATAATTTGGTCTTCGTACTGGCCAATCGAGAATTTTACATCCACCTGCGAAATCACAAAACTTGGGTATTTCTCGTACGGTAATTGAACGGTGTAGGGAGCTGGATGTAAACGTGATTGCAGCCCTAACTTGCTCACGACCGTGGAGGAAATCAAATTCCTTTCTTGGCCTCCATCGACGAGAATCAAACACACTTTATCTTGAATCGAACAGCGCGTGAAGATCATTGTTTGTGATAGCTCTACTGCCGAAATCATCTCTGTTTTTGCGGCTTAACTTTCGTAAGAAAATCAGCCTCCAAATCTCCTTAGCCACTGACTTGAACCTAAGGCTTTGATGCCACTTGATACGCCCCTGGGGGGGGTGTATGTTATCAAAGTAACGCAGCAAACGACTCAATCGAAGAATCGATTGAGCACGAATCAAGAACGAAGCGTTCTTAATACGAACTTGGATAAAACGGAACCAAAAGGACAAATCCACACCTGGGGATAGCTCGATTGGTATAAAAGGGTAGTTGCTCGACCACAATTGAAGGGACTATTCAATCGATACAAAGCTCAGCAAGTTTGGAATCCACCAAACCCAAAACAAGTCGCAACTTGCACAAACCAAACGGTTTCTTTTCTATTCAACAAAGTCTTAGTTTTTACAACGAAAATAGAAGGCTATTTATAGCCAAGAAAACCTAATACAAATCTAATGTAACTAGGAAACAATTATGGTAAAAACAAACTCTAAAAACAGTACAAAACTCGGGTTTAAACTCCCTTCCTTGAAGCGCAAGTAAGCTGCCAGCAACAGTCCAAAAGACAGCTTTCGTACTAACTTCGCGCCATTTGTTCAAAGCCTTCCCGAACTCCAATCCTTCATCCAATTCCTTCCCTTTGTACATAAACATACCTAGTTTCATGTTGTGGAAGCCTTTTGACTTGAACCCCATCCATGATCCTTGAATTGAGCTCCAAAGTAGGCTTCACAAAACAGTTTTCTGCCTTAGCCATTTTCTGGCAATTTTCCAGTTTTAAGGTAGCAACTTTGAGGACTGGGAAAACAACCTTAATGACATCTTCTAGATCCATAAAGCATACCATTGGAAAGATGGTAACTTTATCTGCAAAAGAAACCCTTAAAATTGAATTTCCACCAAGCCAATTGAGAGAACCATGCCTCCAAAGTATGTACCCTGAACACGGATTTTGACTTAGCCAAATTCTGCCTTTCTTCTTCCCAACTTCGATAGCTTCTTTGTCAAGTAATTGTGAAGTCAATGGTTGGTAATTTGGGATCATATCACTATGCCTCCATCATCTTAGCTAATGACAACGTGAATGCTACACATCATGGAAGAGGGAACTATCGCACAAGAAAGAAACGAGCAGGCTCAAATCTCACATGGCTACCTATTTGCTCTATCTCTCATTCTGATCCCCTGAACTAGATGCATAAAAGATTGTCAAGAACAAGTGATCAATCCAAGTCACAGTTGGTAAGCAAACAGTTGAAAAAACTGAACCACTACACAACTCTACTGCACATCTCAGTCATCATTATAGGTTGTCCTAGTCACCATCCAGTTGTCATGCATTAATCCGAAAACCATTCAATTCACCCATCAAAACACAGTGCCAATATGATCAAATAGCCGTATTTGGAGCCCTCAAATCTCGAGATTTGGACAACGGACTAGTCTCCAAGCACACGTATATAGATTCCAACCGATACAAAGCACCCCCCACACTTAAGCACGACATTGGCCTCAATGGAGCATAGGGAGAGATAAGGGGAACGATGTTACTGGATTGAAATACTGCGGGAGACTGGAAGTGGACCAGTCAGCGGGGAACATATGGAACGAACTGGCAGTTCTGCACGAAGGAAATAACAAGAACACACTAGCACACTGTGCGTTAGGGATCAGAGTTGGCCCAGATGGCCACACAAAAGACAATCCACAAAAGAAAACCAAAAGTACGAAAACAAACGACAAACTCAGTTCAAGCTCCGCAAACACATGGAGCAAACAGAAAAAGTCTAAAACAAAAACACACTCTGAGGGGCGACGAGTACAGCCTACTCGTCGCCAAGGTTGTCGAGGTCGATGTCGTTCATGAAGGCGTCATCATCGGAGACCGGGGGTGGTAGGGGAGAGTCCTCCCAAGGAGTCCTCCAGACTGGCTGCTCGCCCGGTATCAGCTAGAGCAGGTGCTGCTGGACTTCCTGCATACGCCAAGAGCGGGCCTTCTCCCGCTCGATGTGAGCCAAAGTCACCCCCTGCTGGGTCTCCATGCGGTCCAGGCGCTCATATATGCCGCCATCCGGGTATGATACTCGGCCTGGTGAGCCGAGTACTGCTGCTGGAACTGGAGCTGATGGTCGATGATCTGCTGATTCTGGATGCTCAGCTGCTGGAACTGGTGGGCGAAGTAGTCCTGCGATGGAAAGGTGGAACTGCTACCCCCGTACTCGAAGGTGGTCGGGCGGGCGGCAGCAGTATCATCCACATCCTCGGGGTGGACATCCTCATTAGTCACGTCCTCATGAGCATCTGGCTGGTCCTCCGCTGGGATCTGAGGTTTCGGAAACCCCTCGATCCACTTGACGCCTCGATCCACTCGCAGTAGATGCATACTCTTGACCGTGTCCTCGCCAAAAGCACTAGTGCCCCCTGCTCCGTGCACCCCTACAGGGAAATCTGGAAGTAGGTGGCCAGGAGGGTGATGAGGGGAGCGCAGTGGAGGCTCTTCAGTTCTGAAGCAGTCTTGGCAAAGGTTCTTGCTACCATAGAACCCAGGTGGTCCGCCTGGAGCCAAAAGAGCCATAGAAAAGATTAATCATACCCCCACACTAGAGAACAGAAAACAGCCGAACCATGGTTTCATCCATAGTTCGGGGGTCAATAACTCGATCAAACAAGCATAATCTGGGTAGGGATGCACATCCATGATAAAGTAGGCAACTTAAGCTTCACATCCATAGGAAATACACCCTTAAAGCACATCATTAAGGGCCCCAACCGGCTCCCACAAAACGGTATGAAAAACAGGCATTTCATTGAACACCTTGTGTGCATTATTAAGTTAAGCATAAAATTGACAAATTCATAGCACACAAGGGCTCAATCAAGCATGGGGGACATTGCCCAACCTCATTCACACATAAACCAAGCATTCCCCTCAATCAATTGCACACAAATCACATAACACAAAGGTGTTCTCTAAACATACACCCTAACACCCAATTCTCCACAATTCACAAGGTTAAGGGTAAAATCAAACCTGGAGACACAAGTAGAGGTGTAGGGGATGATGAGGGGAAGGCAATGGAAACGACGAAAATCTCAAAATCTGCCCGGAAATTGCTCGTCGGAGCCTCGTTGGAGTCTCGCCGGAAATCGCCTCCGATGACTCAAAATCGGTCCAAATTGCCTCAAAATCGAGGGATAGGCCGAAAAGGATGAGGGAAGAGTGGGTTGGGTGGTGGTTTGATGAAACACCGACCAAAAATGGCCCAAAAAGCGCCCAAAAAGGTGAAGTCGCGGTTTTTCGGCGAGGGAGAGAGAATTCCGGCGAGGGGAGTTTGGTTTTCTGACCACGCGGCCGTGTCGGCCAAATATATAGGCGCTGGTTCGGCCACACGAGCAGTCTCACGGTCTGGCACGGCCTGGCCGAGGATTTCCACACGGCCGTGTGAATTGGAAAATTGGCCATGTGGAAATTGTCGAGCATTCACCCGGCCGAGGGCCAAAACCACACGGCCGTGTGAGGGACCCCTCCTGCCCGTGTGGATTTTCCAAGGCCTCCACACGGCCATAACCAATTTCCACACGGTCGTGTGACTTTTAGGGCTGGCCGTGTGGGCTGCCAGAACTCCGAATTTGACCTGTTTTCACTCAAAATCGGCATACGACTCTTGGACAACACCTCAAGACTCAAAAACACAAAAATTCAAAAGGAAAAAGGTAAGAAAATGAAAACCTAGGTGGGGTTGCCTCCCCACAAACGCTTCTTTACCGTCTTTTAGCTGGACGCCAGTAGGTGGATGCTCAGAGAGGTGTAGGTGCGGGTGCCTTCAGGAGCGGATCCACATCGCTCTTGAGGTACAGCTTCAGATGGTGGCCATGCACACGGCGGGTGTGACCACCAGCACTCGTCAGCTCGACCTGGCTATCCGGCAGGATGCAAGCGAGTGAATACTCGGATGGCCAAGGTGGTCGAGGCTCAAGAAGCGGGACCCGCTCATAGTGGTCTCCGGCTTCCTTGTGAGCAGGCTTAGTTACCTGCAGTTTCGGCCGCCACTCTTCCATGATCTTTTCCTTTGGTAACGGCGTGGATGGGAGTGACGGCGAAGGTATGGGAGGGGAATCCTGCAAAATAGGAAGCACAGACGGATACACGACAGACTCGTGCTCCTGGTGAGAAACAGCATGCAATGGTGATGAAGCAGGAAGAGTATTAGCAATGGAAAACTTTATTTGCTCCTCGCCATCCCTCAAGACTAAGGTCCCGTCATGCACATCTATAAGGGCCTTGGCGGTGGCCAGAAAAGGCCTTCCAAGTACAACAAAATCCACAGGATAAAAGAATCTGCCAACCTTAACCAGAAGGTCTTCCACTATGCCCCTAGGATGAATTATAGATCGGTCAGCTAATTGAACACTCATCCTTGTTGCATTGGGTTCACCTAGGCCTAGTTTCTTGAACAATTTATACGGTATCACATTAATACTAGCACCTAGATCCTCCAAGGACCTCTCGACATGCAATTTACCTATAGAGCACGGGATAGTGAAACTACCTGGGTCCTTCTACTTCTGCGGAAGCTTGTTCTGCAGAATGGCCGAGCACTCCACAGTGGCCAGCTCGCTCAGCCTCCGCTTCTTCGAGAGAAGCTCCTTCAGGAACTTCGCATACTTAGGCATCTGAGCTAGGGCCTCCATGAAGAGTATTTGAACATGTAGCTTCCTAAGCATGGACGAGAAGTTGCCAAACTCTGCCTCTAGCCTGTCTTTGTGACTCCTGGTGGGAAAAGGGAGCTTAGACTTATATTCAGCCACCACAGGTTGGGGCTTTGGAGCTTGAGCCTCTGGCTCCTTTTCCATCACCAGGTCTCATTCCGGCTCAAGGGTGATCTGGGTCACCTTCTTGGCACTCTTCTGCGGTGCATCCGCAGTCACAGTCCCACTTCGCAGCATAATGGCGTGCAACCCCTCCTTATGATTTCTAGGATTCGGCAGGGGTTGGCCAGGAAGTGTGCCAGCCGGTCTGGAAGCTAGGGCATCTGCCAGGTGCCCGATCTTGGTTTCCATATCCTGCAAGAGTGCCTGCTGGTTTCTCTGGCCAGCTTCAATCTCCATGAATTTACCTGCAGCCACTTCCATAAATTGCTCCAATTTATTGAACTTTTGGGTACTAGTGCTCGCCAAGGTAGTCACTAGATCCCTCAGTTCTGACACGGTATCGCCCGGTGTTGGGAGTGATGGAGGTGCACCAGGTTGTTGGTACTGCTGCTATGGGGGCTGTTGAAAAGCCTGCCCCCGTCTGGGCTGATAGAGTGGTTGTTGTTGCTGCATCTGGCCCGGCCGAGGCTGGTATGGCTGCCTCTGGTTTGGGAAACTAACTGCAGGAGCCTGGAAGCCAGGT